TACCAGATTTTAGGAGATATTATAGAGCGGTATCCCTAGCCAGAGTCCTGGATTGGCATTATGCAGGGGAAACGAAGCTTTGGGTACTAATGGAAGCAGCAATGAGTCACACAAATCTGCAGAAGGTCTGCTGGATCACACAGAAATATAGACAGTTATCTTCAGATACTCATCCCCTAACGAAGACGACCCTATCCATGTGGGATGCACTCCATTCTAAACAAAAATGGCCGTACAACTCTCCTCTGATGCCCCTATTGGGCCATTTGTACTTCCCGCCGGGGCTCATGGATGGGGGACATCGCACATGGATCCAGGAAGGTTCTGAACTATTGCTACACCAGGTCATACAGGGAGGGAGGATCAAACCCCTCTCCTCCCTGTGTGGATCGCCCAGACCCTCCTTCATGGATGTATGGCGATATAGGCAGCTGTCACACTTTGTAGGGCAGCTCCCTTCGCCATTGAGATCCAAAAGGGACCTGAACCCATTGGAAATGCTCTTGCCAGCAGATTCAGCCCCCACTAAGAGCATATCTTCCATGTACGGCGTCTTGTCGCGTCTAGAGGCCTCCTCTCACCCACCCTATATGGTGTTCTGGGAAAGGGAGCTGGGCTGCCCCCTTACTGAGAAACGTAGAATGCGTGTTCTGGCCTTCTCAAGAGGGTTGAGCAGATCCTCAGGCATCCAGGTGCTCCACTATAAGCTATTATGTCGGTGGTATTACACTCCTCAGAAAATGCACCAGATAGATAGTTCGGAGACCCAACTGTATTGGAGGGGCTGTGGACAGGTGGCCACACATGCGCATATATGGTGGCAATGCCCAAAAATAACGCCCTTGTGGCAGCAGGTAGCGGAGGAGATATTCCATATTCAGGGAACGGAGGTGCATCTAGACCCCTGGGAAATGTTGTTTCATGGAGCCGAGGGATCAATGGGCCGCTATGCTCGCTCCATCACACCACATTTACTCAATGCAGCTAAAGCCTTAATTCCAGCCAAATGGAAGAGTGAGGCGGGGCGTACCCTGCTAGAGTGGCTGGACAGGGTGGAACAGATTTACTGCATGGAGGAACTCACTCTTACCGAACCAGATCGAATAGAGCGCCTATCGAAAACATGGGCGTGTTGGTTAGCGTATAAGACGACCCCAGCATACCTCACCAAACGGGGGATTTAAGGTTTAAGTGTGGATGAATCTGTGGCTAACAGGTGTTTAATTACTTAAAAGAACTCTGTGTGGGGGGCGTGGTCTCGACATGGCCGAGTGAGCACGCAGGTCCCTGGAGCTCTGTGACCGCCGACATCAGAAGACGATATAACTGACAATACCGACCTGGTACCGTGGATGCTCAGCCGCCGGAATCTCGCCAGCACTCCCGAGACCTCCAGGGGACCGGACTTACGCCGCTACTTTTCGCCCGCGCAGTCGCAGATTCCCGCCGGCCCGGAGCTCGCGATGGGGCCTACCAGAGCCTCGGCCTCGACTGCTGCAGCCACTCCGCTCAAGGTACAGGGTAAGACCCAGCCTGGACAGAGGGCTCCTCCCGCCCGCAATCCAAACCCCCCTGTTATATCGCTACTGGGTCGTTTCACTGCACCCTGGGGTTCGGTTGGTCATTTCCTGTCGCGAGTCACATCTCTACAGGAGTATCTGGTGTACGCACTTTGGACACCCCCAAATAAGCGGTCCCAGTGTTTCACACACCGGGACTTTCCCCGTAGGTACTACTCGGACCAATAGATTGGTCCGACTCCCTTCCCCACACATTGCTGATACTACCTCTCTTCCTTCTCCATTCTACCTTCTCCTCCTTCTCCTTATCCCCCCTCTGCTGCCCTACACCCCTCTTCCTAACCCCCTCCTTCTGTCCTTACCCACCCTCCCTACTCATCTACCTCCCTCCTGCTGGGACTCCCGTCCCTCAGCCATCTTGCTGAGTCCTTGAACTGTCGCCATGGGCCTGCTCAAGCTGACAACGTTTAATGTTAAGGGGCTTAATGTCCCGGAGAAGCGGTCACGATTGCTGGTGGACCTACAGAAATCCAACTCACAGGTGGTCTTCCTCCAGGAAACACATTTTAAGCAGGACAATGTCCCCAAGCTACAAAATAGAGACTTCCCGGTGGTATACCACTGCCCATCCCCCCTCAATAAAACAAAGGGGGTAAGCATTTTATTGGCCAAGTCGGTTGCGTGGCATTTTCAGGATCAATTGGTGGATCCTGGGGGCAGGTACTTGCTGGTCAAGGGCACGCTTGGTCAGTTGCGGGTCACCATGGTCAATGTGTACTTCCCTAACTCTGATCAGCTGGGCTTCCTACGGACCCTGGTGACGAATATAGCACAATTCGGGGAGGGAATGATCCTGCTGGGGGGTGATTTTAATTTCGCACTGGACCCCGTCCTAGATGTCTCTAGGGGCTCCTCCCATCTCTCCTACTCCTACCTTCGGAGGCTGAAAGCGGAACTGATTTCGCTTCACCTGATAGACCCGTGGCGCCTACTACACCCCCAAGATAGGGATTACACCTTCTATTCCGCTGCCCACCAAGCATACTCCAGGATAGACTATTTCTTTCTACAACACCGTGATCTCCCCACAGTGATCTCGACGGATATTGGGGACATTCTCCTTTCCGACCACGCGCCAGTCCATCTATCCCTCGATCTCTCGGCACCCACCTCCTCGAGCTCCTCCTGGAGACTAAATGAGTCCCTTTTACAGGACCGTCTAATTAGAGATGACCTCGAGTGTGAACTGCGCTCCTTCTTCTTGTGAAATAATGGCTCGGTGTCGTCCCCCCTGTCCACGTGGGAAGCACATAAATGTGTCATACATGGTGTTCTGATTAAGCACGGGGCCCGTAGGAAACGAGAGAGGGGGCAGCGGGTGGGGGAACTGTTTAAGGAACTGCGAGAACTGGAGTTGCTGCACAAGCAATCACTGGCCGTCCTTACCTATCGCAGGCTGATACGGGTGCGGGAAGAGCTTAACGATCTTCTGTTTGCAAAAACTAAACAACGTTTGTTGCGGGGTAAACGTACTCTCTACGAGTATTCAAACAAACCTGGCAGGCTACTGGTCAGAGCTCTTAGGGGCCTGCAAACCAAAACTTTTATCCCACGTATCCAGTCTTCCACGGGTGGGTTAGCACTCCTTTCCAGTGACATAGCGGCAGAGTTCAGAACCTACTACAATAACTTATATAACCTACGGCCAGACCCTCCCAACTCACCCACTCCCGACGCGGCAATCGAAAAAAAAGAACTCTGTGTGACTTGGGAAACAGCACAACAAATGTATAACTCATGACAGACCATAAGTAGTATGTGTTATGTGAAGACATGATCCTACATCTACCTACTCCCATACCCAACTTACCTTCCCACCCTGTCAATCTCCCTCCCCCCATACCTTCTCCTGCCTCCCCCTACCTTCCTACAATCAAGCCTTTTCGGCTCAAAGCTTATCTAACTAATGCAAGATTTTAGGATAGGGTTCACGTGCTGGGCAATATGTATTGACATATGTCTTAAGACTACTCTATGGCTGATTGTATCCCTTTGTATGTGTGTATATGTATTTGTACTCTTTGTAATTTGTACTTTTATATGCAAACTCCTTTCAATAAAAACTTATTATACAAAAAAAAATGTTTGCCAAATTTTCATACTAGATGTAATATTCTCAGTAAAGGAAATTTAAGTAAATGTCCTCCAGTCTGGGCATTTCTTCATTTTGGGGTATCTCTCATAAAAAGAAAGCAGCGCATGGAAGAGTGGGATGAACCACTATGTGAGTGTAGACTCTGTGTTGTAGTCAGTGGCGGACCTAAGGAACAAAGGGCCCTGGTGAAAGATTTTTTTTGTCCCCCCACAAAAACCCCCCACAAACGCAGCGCTCTCCTCCCGCAGCGTCGGCCAGCTTTCACTTTCTCTGCTCCCTGCTGGGACACAGAGCAGCGCCCAGCGGGGAGGAAAGAAAGCAGGGATGCACCGCTGTATCGGCAGAAAAATTGCACTTTCGGCATTTAGCCAAAAGTGCCATTTTCGGCCGATATGTTTTGGCGGCCGATATATCGGTGCGTTCCTAATATTTACAGCAATGCAGAATGGCACAGGCTAAAGAGGACTACACATCCCAGCAATACTTTATATAACAATAGCATTTCTGTATAAAGTACTGCTGAGATCTGTAGTCCTCTATAGAGGGTGCCATTCTGCATTGCTTCAACACCTGATCCCTGGAACGACCGACAAGCGCAGACTCCCGTCTCTCAATAGCTTTAAAAATGTCCCAGGAACATAAAATAATAAAACATTTTAAAATGTCCCGGGATTTTATTTAAAACATTTCACCTTACCTTAGCCTGGTGGTCAGTGGGACCCCTGGACCCTGGTTGTGGGGGGTCTGTTGTGGCCGCAGCTGCTCCATCCCTCTGCCGCCTTTCTGCCATCTGCACATCCGACACTCCCAGCCAGTGGCGTAGCGAGGGGTGGCTCCTGCCCCGGGCGCAGGGGCGAACTGACCGTGCGGCTGTCACCGCAGCTCCCTGTCAGCCCGCCCGCATCAGACCCAGCTCTCTAATCGGCCGCCACTCGCTCCTCAAGTGGGTCCTCTGGAGGCCCCCGCCCCCGAGCTAAACCTATCTATCACTACTCTAGCTAGCCCTCCTGCCCCCCTTTTTCAAACACAAAAAAACCCTTTCCAACCAATACTCACCTAACTCCTCCTTGTTCAGGTCTGACCTGCATCAGTCATGTCCCTTTCTCCGTCTATCATTCCGCAGGGAACAATCTTTGTGCCCACTGCGAGTTAAGTTTAGCAAAACTAAATTTGTTAAAAAATTTAAAAGTTAGAAATGCGTACATTAGAAAGGTCTCAGTATTTGATACTCTTCGCTATTAGCTCTTTTTGTTCTGTCGTTCATTCATGACTTTGATGCTTGACAGCTGAAAATCTCAAATTTGTATATGCTCTGTCAGTGCAGTATGGTTACAGGTCATGGTCGTAGGAAACGAGAGAGGGGGCAGCGGGTGGGGGAACTGTTTAAGGAACTGCGAGAACTGGAGTTGCTGCACAAGCAATCACTGGCCGTCCTTACCTATCGCAGGCTGATACGGGTGCGGGAAGAGCTTAACGATCTTCTGTTTGCAAAAACTAAACAACGTTTGTTGCGGGGTAAACGTACTCTCTACGAGTATTCAAACAAACCTGGCAGGCTACTGGTCAGAGCTCTTAGGGGCCTGCAAACCAAAACTTTTATCCCACGTATCCAGTCTTCCACGGGTGGGTTAGCACTCCTTTCCAGTGACATAGCGGCAGAGTTCAGAACCTACTACAATAACTTATATAACCTACGGCCAGACCCTCCCAACTCACCCACTCCCGACGCGGCAATCGAAAAAAAAGAACTCTGTGTGACTTGGGAAACAGCACAACAAATGTATAACTCATGACAGACCATAAGTAGTATGTGTTATGTGAAGACATGATCCTACATCTACCTACTCCCATACCCAACTTACCTTCCCACCCTGTCAATCTCCCTCCCCCCATACCTTCTCCTGCCTCCCCCTACCTTCCTACAATCAAGCCTTTTCGGCTCAAAGCTTATCTAACTAATGCAAGATTTTAGGATAGGGTTCACGTGCTGGGCAATATGTATTGACATATGTCTTAAGACTACTCTATGGCTGATTGTATCCCTTTGTATGTGTGTATATGTATTTGTACTCTTTGTAATTTGTACTTTTATATGCAAACTCCTTTCAATAAAAACTTATTATACAAAAAAAAATGTTTGCCAAATTTTCATACTAGATGTAATATTCTCAGTAAAGGAAATTTAAGTAAATGTCCTCCAGTCTGGGCATTTCTTCATTTTGGGGTATCTCTCATAAAAAGAAAGCAGCGCATGGAAGAGTGGGATGAACCACTATGTGAGTGTAGACTCTGTGTTGTAGTCAGTGGCGGACCTAAGGAACAAAGGGCCCTGGTGAAAGATTTTTTTTGTCCCCCCACAAAAACCCCCCACAAACGCAGCGCTCTCCTCCCGCAGCGTCGGCCAGCTTTCACTTTCTCTGCTCCCTGCTGGGACACAGAGCAGCGCCCAGCGGGGAGGAAAGAAAGCAGGGATGCACCGCTGTATCGGCAGAAAAATTGCACTTTCGGCATTTAGCCAAAAGTGCCATTTTCGGCCGATATGTTTTGGCGGCCGATATATCGGTGCGTTCCTAATATTTACAGCAATGCAGAATGGCACAGGCTAAAGAGGACTACACATCCCAGCAATACTTTATATAACAATAGCATTTCTGTATAAAGTACTGCTGAGATCTGTAGTCCTCTATAGAGGGTGCCATTCTGCATTGCTTCAACACCTGATCCCTGGAACGACCGACAAGCGCAGACTCCCGTCTCTCAATAGCTTTAAAAATGTCCCAGGAACATAAAATAATAAAACATTTTAAAATGTCCCGGGATTTTATTTAAAACATTTCACCTTACCTTAGCCTGGTGGTCAGTGGGACCCCTGGACCCTGGTTGTGGGGGGTCTGTTGTGGCCGCAGCTGCTCCATCCCTCTGCCGCCTTTCTGCCATCTGCACATCCGACACTCCCAGCCAGTGGCGTAGCGAGGGGTGGCTCCTGCCCCGGGCGCAGGGGCGAACTGACCGTGCGGCTGTCACCGCAGCTCCCTGTCAGCCCGCCCGCATCAGACCCAGCTCTCTAATCGGCCGCCACTCGCTCCTCAAGTGGGTCCTCTGGAGGCCCCCGCCCCCGAGCTAAACCTATCTATCACTACTCTAGCTAGCCCTCCTGCCCCCCTTTTTCAAACACAAAAAAACCCTTTCCAACCAATACTCACCTAACTCCTCCTTGTTCAGGTCTGACCTGCATCAGTCATGTCCCTTTCTCCGTCTATCATTCCGCAGGGAACAATCTTTGTGCCCACTGCGAGTTAAGTTTAGCAAAACTAAATTTGTTAAAAAATTTAAAAGTTAGAAATGCGTACATTAGAAAGGTCTCAGTATTTGATACTCTTCGCTATTAGCTCTTTTTGTTCTGTCGTTCATTCATGACTTTGATGCTTGACAGCTGAAAATCTCAAATTTGTATATGCTCTGTCAGTGCAGTATGGTTACAGGTCATGGTGGGGGACTTTGGAGATTTGGATTTCAAACTGTATGATGAGGTAAGGATATTGAAAATCAGTGCGACTTTCAAAAAGGTGGTAAGTGGGCATGTCAGTGTCTAAATAGCTAAATGCTAGTTTAATATTTTTTTCATGATCACCATTAGTGATGGGCCAAACTCGACCTTTGAACTCAATGAAAGTATGTGTCCCCATTTTAAAGGCTTATATGCAAGTTATTGGCCATGAAAAGGGTATGGGGAATCGGGTACTGCCCTGGGGGACATGTATCAATGCAAAAAACTCTTTTAAAAAATACAGTTTTTAAAGGATCAGTGATTTTAACATTGCTTAAAGTGAAACAATAAAAATTAAAAATTCCTTTAACTATCGTGCCTGGGGGGTCCCCTTAAACTGCCTGTAAAGTGGTGCATCTGTACGATGTATAGAACCAGCTGCAGCAAAAAGTGATTTATTTAAAAAAAAAGACATTTATAAAGAAAAAAAAAAAAGTGTGTAGTTCCCCCTCCCAAACAACACCAGACCCTTTAGGTCTGGTAGGAAAGTTATAAGGGACCCCATTTAAAAAAAACCCCATGAACTAGCGATGTTCAAGTCGAACTGTTGGTCAACTCGAACATCGGGTCCATCATTAATCACCATTAACAGGACTATTCACTAAAGGGTGAAGAGTTTGGAGAAGGCAGGTGAAGGGAACAATCTAGGACAACATAGCTGAACTGGAATGAGAGCTAAATTGGAGAATTTTTCTAAATCAGCTCTTTTGGCCTAGATTGTTCACTTCTCATGCTCTCTCCAAACTCTTCACCATTTAGTGAATAACCCTGTAAGTTTATTTAAAATGGTAAATGATATTACACCAACCTAAAGTAGAACTATGCCCCCCCTACTAAAAATATGTGCTGTAGCACATAAATATATACGTGCAGCATACCACTTCTAGCTCTGTCTACTGCTTTCCCAATTGTCAGCATTGCCTATGTTGCTGAAACCCTGCCACTGTGAGCTGTAGTGCCTGGGAGGGGGAGCATGTGAGACTCAAATGAAGGAGGAGTTGTCTCTGCAAGGGAAGGTAAAGGGCGTCTTTGGTTTACTTTATGAGACTCAAGTAACTGAATTTGTTACTTGGTTAGGTTGTCATACAGATGGGTTTAGTTGTACTTTGACTTAATTATTCTATTTTTAACACTTTCGATTCATTATGGATGAATGTTTATCAGTTGCCAACTAGCTGCTACAAGTTTTTTCATTCTGCATATTGCACATTTAAATTATGAATCTTACTAAGCCAGCTCATACAGCAATTAGAATATTTGACGTGCAATAACTGTATGGAACTTTTTTGTGCCAATATAAATATTTGTGTTGAAGGGAAATTATGCGCATGCCCATTTCCTTCTTTTTTAAACTCCAGCAAATGCTGGGTACTGAAAAATGCATGAAAAGAGTGATCTCCACTGACAGTTGAACGATAGTTCTGGCTTCACTGGGAGAGAGAGTTTAACATGGGAGCATGTGTTCAGGTACATAAACCCGAAAACCCCAATGTTAGGTGGTGCGTTATTATTATTATTGTTGTTGTGGGTTACCGTGCTTTACTAAGTGCCATTTGCCCTATTTTACAAAGCCTTTTAGTTTATTTGCATATGAATTATAGCACAACAGAATGTTTTCCTTATTTGTTCTAGATCTTGTAGCTATATACATAGACATTGTAAACAGAGAGTATGGCCTTCATTCTGCAATAAAATAGCATGCAGTGAGCAATAGTTACTTGCAAAACACAGTACTCTAAGGCAATTCGTTTTAGTTTTGGATGGTTGCTGTGCTTTACTACACTTTGCTCTTGATATTATTGCATTAACTGGTTTGACAGCAGCACAGTATGTGTTACATTCCACTGCATAATACACAGTGAGGGAAGCATAACAGTCCTGTTCTGTAATGTCAGTCTTCCACAACTTTTCATAAACAACACCATTGCACTGACACAGATCTAATTCAAAAGTGTCTGCTAATTAAAGGAAATGTTTCCTGAAAGAAAACTGCAGCCACTTAGATCAGTGCTTGGGGCTCTTAATGATGCCAAAGACACCAATTTTCGGGGTCAATGTTTTTGCCAATGACAACATGCTGGGGCTTATTTTACACCCCATAAACTATGGATCGACATCCCTTTTATTGGTCACACCCCCCCCCCCCCCCGATGACTTTTCCTAATACCTTCAAGTTGTCCTTCCTAACTATGCATACCTGTCTTGGTGACTCTTATTTGAAATCTGTTTAGTTTGTCTTTATTCTTGCCTTTTTTTCCCAAGAAATCTGGGACCAATTGTTTGAGGGTGATTTGTGGGTGTGGCTACAAATGCGAGTGGTGGTTTTGTCGATGTAGTTAGAGGGCATGGTCAGTAGTGTCCCCAAATTTCATTTTGAAAATCTGGTATCCTTAGTAAAGAGCACCAGGAACTGGCATTGTGTGCCAGTTCCTGGCCACAGTGGCAGATGCTCAGCCAAATTTATTTTTGCTCAAAAGGCCATTCCTGCCCTCTACTCATTTTTGGAGGCCAGAACAACAACAGCATTGGACAATGAGACTCTGTAACCTCTACCTTCTCCTCCACATTACCCTCATTCTGTAAGTCCTTTTACAGGGACATCTATGACACTACCACTAGTGATGAGCCAAACACCCCCGTGTTTAGTTTGAATTCGAACTCGAACTCGATGCAAGTCTATGGGGTGTGGCATTGCGTGGCAATACCACTGTGTTATGTGGCCTCAAAATCTCCATTCCATGGTTCCATGCCTTAATAGTGATTATGCACCTGTGTACATCCCTCATGAAGAGGGTGCTGGGATTTGTTCAGGGCCCCACCTGTGAGTCAGGAGAGCTCCGCCCTGGAGTCAATGTGGAGGCCAGTGCAGCAGGGAGCTGCGGGTTCGTGAACCATATTGGGAGGATTGGCATGTTGTTGCCGTTGTCTGGAGGAACCAGACAGTGGCCCTGAAGATTGAGGCCGGAGCAGCAGTGCTGCAAGAGAGACTTATTAAAAGACTGGGACACCGTGAGTGTTTGGGACAACTCAAGGATTGGTGAGCCCTTATCTGTCATATGCTACAGCAAGCTATTTATGTTGGATTTCGTGATTATCTACCGTTTTGAAAGAAAATAAAGACTCTGTTTTGAAAAACCCGCTGTGCGAGTGCTCTGTGAGCTCCCCAATATCACGGGGGGTAGAACTTTGAAAATCAATTGACCCCGTTTTGAAGGCTTATATGCAAGTTAATGACCATAAAAAGGGTATGGAGATTCGGGTACTGTCCTGGGGCACATGTATCAATGAAAAAAACACTTAAAAAAAATACCGTTTTTAAAGGAGCAGTGATTTTAATATCACTTAGAGTGAAACAATAATCGTAATCCAGTGTTAATCAGGACGTCCAGCGTTGTCCACAACGACGACGACTCGACAAAATAAAACAATAAAACAATAAAAATTAAATAGAAATAATAAAAAAACACAGACAAGCGCCGTCTTATCCGCTCGCAACATATAAACAATTGGGCGGAGCTAGCAGTGACAGCTATCTCCGCCCAGCTGTTTACAGTTGTAACAGGTGAGCTGATTGGACAAAGTCATGATGACTTTGCCCAATCATGGCTCTCACAGTTCTCTGTGGGCAAAATCTTGCACCTGGCCTGTGGTCAGATGCAAGGCTGTAGCCAATCAGGGTTTACAAGGCACAGTGCCTTGCGGGGCGCTTGGCAGGCGAACACACAAACTGCCGATGTTCATGTTGAACTCACCTTTGGCTCGAACATCAAGCCCATCACTAATTATCACCAGACTCTTGTAAGCACCCCAGGGCTTATGCCAATCTCAAGCCAACTGCTGTCATGTAGCAATTTAGCTTGCCTGCTTGCTGAACAGAACCTACACCAGAGCAAAGATGCTGACAGTTCTCTAGTCTAAGCTGATAGGTAGCTGACCACAATCCGCCTACAACCAGTCATGTGTGATAACAGCACACATTTGTTGGCCACCCTTTACCTGAAAAAGATCACACAATTTTATTTTTAGCATACCCTTAACCTACACTTAGGTACCTATTGTAAATGTAACTTCTTGTTTACATACTCACCTACTGTAAATAAAACTTTCTTATACAATTGACAAGTTAAATATTAACCAAAATCAAATGTTCTGCATTATGGGTGAGGTAAATTAAGGAGAATATGCAAACAATATTGGAAAATTTAGCACAACAAATGACCTGGATCAGTCTGATAAAAATGTCACATATAAGAATGCATTATATTTCTTTCCAACACAAGGTCTTTTGACAATATTATTCTGATACACCACATAAGGAGGAAAAATGATTGCTAAATTGTTCAAGAAAAAGTATTTAACTAATTACATTATATGTATTGCAAAGTACATCAGTACATGCATTATAATTTCAATGTCCATATCGCTCCATTATTGAGTTTAGAAACATGAACTTAAAAGATGGCTTTTAATGTGTTTTATTCATTGTGCATCTTACATTTGTCACAGTACCAATATGAAAGTATAATTCGTTTTTTTTCTAAGACTACCTGCTGCTAAAACGTACCTGCTGTATCACAAAATTCCGTTGATTCTGCAGTCCGTCTGAATACGAAATAACAAATTATTTTATGCCTGAATATACGGAAAACTATATTCGGGAATATATTATTTTGTTTTGCACGGGCATCTTGCTGCGTCCCAGATGGCGGTGCCCATACATGCATATGACATCACCAGATGCCAGAATCGGGTGACGTCATGCGCTCCACCTCCATGATGCATAATAGAATTCATCAGCACTCGATGATATGTGCAAGAAGTAAAGCACTTTTTAATAAATCGTCACATGGACCAAACAGCCAACGTTTCAGGGCCATGCAGGGTCCCTTCTTCTGGGCGACACAGTGACAATAACAAGTATGCAACTTCAGCTTTAAATAGTGAACCACACAGAGTACATCACATAACATCCCCATGACGTCA